TGTGTGTGTGTGTGTGTGTGTGTGTGTGTGTGTGTGTGTGTGTGTGTGTGAACGAACATCTCTAGTAATATTATTTGGATTTTGACTAATCAAACTTTACCTAGTTTTACCTATATTTGTTATGGATTAATCCATTTATCAGATGCTTTCAATCCAAAATTGGGGTAATTGAGGGCAAAAAAGGAGCAAATATTCTACCTCTTAATGTTGATTCTCAGTCACCATGCAGACATACGCATAGGAGTGGGCAATATGGCAAAAATATATCACACTTTTTTTTTTCAGGAAAATCACAATTCATGATTTTATCACAATTCTTTGTCATGTTGGTTTTACTATTTTGCAAGTTGAGCAGTACAGCCAAACTAACTTCTCTATTTTAAAAACAAAGCCGTACAAATAAAAAAGAATGGCAGACATTTAGGACAAAGTGGGCGAAGATAAAAATGTTTGTCATTATTTTTGTTTTTATTTTGTTATTAATAAAAATACACATAATAAACAAACAGACAGTGCCTCCTTACAGGATGTGTATTTAGCAGTAGCATTAAAGAAATCGAATGAACAAATATAAAAATAAAACTGTACATTTCACTGTATAAATTATACATTGATCCTTATTAAAGCAACTGTATTAAAGTTCTTCAGTCAAGAGCAGTTAGTGATTTTTCTCTTTGTTTTGTTATTTTATTAACATTAAAGAGAGCGTTCACCCAAACATGAAAATTCTTTTATCATTTGCTCACTCTAATGTTGTTTTAAACCTGAATGAGTTTCTTTCTTCTGTTGAACATAAAAGTTATTTTGAAGAATGTGGGAAACCAAATAGTTGCTGGTCCCCAGTGACTTCCGTAGTATTTTTTTTCCTACTATCAAAGCAACTGTTTGGTTACCCACATTCTTCAAAATATCATCTTTTGTGTTCAGCACGAGGAAGAAATTAATACAGGTTTGTTTGGGACAACATGAGAGTGTGTAAATAATAACAGAATTTAAATTTTTGGGTGAGCTATCCCATAAGCGGTAGCATGCTTAATACTATTAGTCTGCTGTCACTTTAAGACCTGCACGCATCTAGTATAAAGGCAAGCATCCATTTTTCTCTCAACTCTTTACTTTCACTTTAGACATAACCAACTGTGTTTATATGTAAACCTCGTGTGTTTTTGACAGCATTAGCGTAGTCAGACGCGAAAGATAACTTAGTCCAGTAATCAGGCACTGTTTGAGTTTGAGTTTTAGTGTGCGCACACTTCAGGTGTACAAGCTCAGAAACAGCGCATGTCAGAACAGCACGCAAATGAAATGTTTAACTGGCAAGGCTTTAAAGCACAAATATAAAAAAAAATGTGCGCTGTAGCACGATACTACGAATTTTCTTTAAAATCAGATCGTGGAGACCATCCATGATCAAAAATCGTGGTATCGCACACCCCAGAATCAGTTGCAGAGACTTGCAAGTTTCATGAACAGGCTTGTTTTGAGTTTTTGTATAATTACCAGACTTTGTCAGAACTGGTGGAGATGTAGGTGCATAATGACAAATGATGTCTAAAAATCTGTCTGAAAGCTGCTGCATTAATAGGTATCTGTGCTATTCACCTATCCTGCGTTTCAGCAAAAGACATGCAGACATGCCAAACCAGAAACCAGCTTCAAAGCTTTATATTTACCCCCACATCTCCTTCATGTTGAAAATATCCGATTACCCGTGGAAAAGTCAATTTGCAGAAATGCCAAAATAAATCAGGATGGAGGTGGAAGATTAGGACATATATACTATGAAAGTGAAAACAGCTTCCCCCACCTCTCACTATGTGCTGTTAGTAAGAGAATATAAAGTGTGGGTAGACTCGGGTCATCTTTGCTCACATTCA